GTCCCCCGGCCGGCAGCACCGGCGGCTGTCCCCCGGCCGGCAGCACCCGGCACTGTCACCCCGGTGCCTGGGGACCCCGGCCGCTCAAGCAGCCCCCGCGGTTGGTGCTTCTGGGCTTGTTTTCAACTTGCATTTTAAGAGCAGCTGATGCTTTCTGATGCCGTTTACACCAGTCTTTTGCACAGTGAAATACTTTGGTTAAGTATTTCTACTTTGACTGACAATTTATTTCATTATGGCAAGAAGTGTTGCCTGAAGTTCAATTTCTTCTGTACTATCAAAAACTCCAACATAATGGACTTCAAAGTGGAAAAGAATCGTTACAAAAATAACCAACAGTCCCTTTTAATAGCTCAAAAATAACCGAGTTAGTTGTTATAGACATTAATCTAAATAACTAAGGGAAAATACCTCAGCGTGAGTATCAGACTTTGAAGAGAAAGGCTAGTTAATAAGGCCAGAAGAGTTGATCTGCCTAACTAACGACCTCACTGTCTTCCAGCGTTTTTACTTTTCAAATGGAAACTCATGAAGGAGAAAACAGTTACTGTTTGAAAAAGAAGAAAAAAAAAAACCCAAACCACTAGGAAAATGAAACTGAAATTCCGGAAGCGAGCATTCCCAATTTCATGCGAACATATGTATTTTTAAGCCACAGGAGTGACAACAATAGAGTCTTACTCTGCTTTGAAAGCTGGTATCACCCTTGCCACAGAAGCGCTATCACCCTTATATAATTCTAAATAGCTCAACAAACGTTAAAGAAACAATAGGTTACAGAAGCACCCAGCAGGTTAGATGAATGACTTTGATGTGGCAGGACTGTTATTTACGGCTGCAGATGCTGTTCATGATTTAGTCATCAGAAATGCAAACTGATCATAAATGTATAGAAACTGATACTTGCACAGTGCTGTAACAATTTACCCACTTTGAACGCTGGTTTTGTATCATGAAAGTTAGATTTCCTGATGCTCCCTAAAGCAGTGTAACCTGCACCTTGGTAACTCTGCTCTAAAACTGGAATATGGCTTTAAAAGAGCTCCTCCAGAAAAGGCATAAGGATTGTTTTTAAAAATAAAAGCACACTACATGTGGAAATTTTCATCTAGTTCTAAATAGCACTAGTTAGAACTTCAGACACTGTGAAATAACTTGCATAGTACTTGAAGATAATACAACCCCCCCTTGCATTTACTTTTCTGCAAGGCTTCAGGTACCATCATGAGTTGGGCATCTAGTATTTAAAAATGTTTACTGCAAAGAAACAACGTACAAGTGGACTTGGGCTCGGCAGGCATGTTTTTCAGTTGGAGCAGTGCTGTGCACATGCAGCTGTCCCAGTTCTGAACTTAAGCCCCAAAATGCTTTCTCATGTAGCTTTTAAGATCGAGGTGAAAGCCTCGCTTTGTCACCCGGCTTACACACTGTCACACACACAATTGCTGTCTCCAAACCTGCCCTGTGCTCAGCTGACGCCTCACCTGGCTGGAGAGATGCATCGTGCCCTGCAGCTGGCTAGGTTAGGTCCGCTGACTGGACAGCTATCATTTGCTTTCTCAGTGGGAACACTGATTTCTCATCTGTCAGTCATCCCTTTTCAAAGATTATGTTTGTATAAGTGTTGGGAAATTGCTATTCTTCAATTCGGATGAATTGAAAAGCACGTGCAAAAATTGTGAGGGTGGGACATAAAAGAATATGATCCCATCAGCCTCCCCTACTTAGGAAACCAGGCTTTAAAAAAATAAATTAAACCTTATCAGTCAACAAAGAAAGTTTGACTCCGGGGGCTTCAGAAAAGGATAAAACCCACACAGGCCAGGTTTTCTTCCTTTTTGCAGGTATCCTTGGTGACTTCATTGCATTATCTCCTGCTAGGCTGGCTGAAATTCAGGGGAATGCTCAGATTGACTGTCTTTGTGCAGATATTGGAAACCTTTCAAAATGGTCACACCAGGTTACTACCCACTAGGACAAACCTGGTTCCAAGAAGCTTAGACATTTTTATTTCTGCCCCAGTCAAGCTCATGCCCAGACCATCATCTGCACATCTGCAGACATACAGTCTTAAAACAATATTCCCCCCCAAGCCCATGCCTTGTTTTATTTCTATTTAGATCCTTGTTTGGACAGACTGAGGGCACAGCTCATTAGTTACGTAAACCAGTTAATGCATTTTATATTATGTTTTATATACAACACTTAGCATTAACAAAATACAGTTTTTCTCAGCATCAACAAGATAATGCCTTTTTGTATTCCTGCAGTCCATGAGTTGCTACTCCTTCTTGCAAGGCAAAGACTCCCTCAGCATATGCTGAGAAAGCACACAGCTAGAACCTCCCATTTCTCCAGGCCAAACTCTCTCTGCTGTAACACTTTCACAATCCTTGACATCAGAGATGAATTACAACTCTTGTGCATGAGCTACAAGTGAAACTGGTCCTTCAGTACTAACACATTTGAAAGAACAGCAATAAAATAGTAGCCAACAAGTCAAAAAAACCCCCTCTCCTGAAAACACTCGTTGCTCCAACATTCCATGGTCAGCGCAACAAAAACATAGAGAGCACTTTTACGTACAATGGCTGCAAGCTTTTAGTACAAAACTCAGTTGACCTTGTAATCGTACTTTGAACTGCTCAACTCATACTGTAATAAAATGGTTAACTAGCTATAAAGTGATGTTTAGCCATAGGGCCATATTTGATAGTTTATAGGGTGTTCAATTGAAAAAAAAAAATAAATGTTGTTAGAACTGACTAAGAATTAAAAAGAAAAGGAATAAACATTTCTTGAAAAATACATGTCAACTTATATATTAGCTGTATTTAAAAGTAAGATTTTTCAGAGGATTATTCTGAATAGTACATTGGAGCAGCTTGAATTTTACCAGGCAATAAGAGTGTTCTCTGGAGAGAAAAAAAAAAAAAAAAGCAGCTATTGGCTTAGAAAGACCTAAGTAACAAAAATGTTTTCATAAATGGCAAATGTAAATTTCTTAGTGCAAGCTTCGAAAAAATGGCATCAGAAATGTAAACCTGCATGATTCACATAAACCTTCTCAAACATTAAAGTCTTGGGGTTTGGTTTTGCACAGAATAGCACAGAAGTGTAAGTGCATTCAAGGGTTGAAGCCATTATCACCACAGTATGGTTTGAACCAAACTAATAGCTTGCTGCTGCCGAAACACTGAAGCTTGGCTTCCTCCCCTTACAATCCTCCTCCCTCCCAGCTTTGGACTGCTTGCTTTAGCCGCTCTCCTCAATCTGGTGCTGGCACTCACTTGACTGCACCAACAGGTCTGACATTTGGGAAATCTCAGTTTGGTCCCTGCTAGAGACTGTCTTCACTCCTACCCCTTCAATGTGCTTAGAAAAAAACCCAGGGAGGCTTGATGACATGATTAATTTAGTTCTAGCTGCCGGCTGCCACTGTCCAAACAGTGTCCAAGCAGAAGACTCAATTTCTACGTGCATAGAATTACTGGGTCAGCTTAAGGTTAAATGATTTTAAGATAGGGAAGAGCTTTTAGTTTGATAAAAGTGAAACGGAGAAAAAAGGAGGTTGGACCAGAGGATCTCCAGAGGCACCTTCCCACCTCAGCAATTCCCTGATTGACCCTGGCCAGTTCTTCCCGTTGGATGGCTGCCATCAAGGGGGCTATAGGGGAGAGGATGGATAGATAGGCTCCTGTTACGCCAAAATGAGCCACAGGAAAAGGAAGTAGAAGAGGCTATACTTTGAATTTTAAAGGGTTTCCTTAAAAGCTCAAGTTTATTTAAACAGTTATTAGCAAACTTACACCTCCCTTTCTGAAAAAAATGAAGAAGTAATCAAGCTAAAATAATTTCTAAGGTCTATTTCCTTTTATTCCATCTTACTTTCATATCCAGATGCAAAAATTTATTTCTCTATCAATAAATACTTAGTAGTTTCAGCATCTGAGCAGCTTATAGTACCACTGAAAACAATCTAACAGTGGAAGATGTTATTTCAGTTTACCCCACTATTTCATAGCACACATCAGCTAGACCTCAGGACTGTCCTGAGGAACTTCATCTCCACACAGACAGACAAAGCCCCCATCCCAGAAAAGTATCACAGACTCTAGTGCAGACTCTGCACCATGCTAACACTATTTTCCTGTTTTTACTGAACCCAGGATGGCAAAACCTAGAAGAAACTCGAATCATGTGCACTCTTAAGACCAGAGTATGTTTGGGACCTCAAGTGTACAGTAGAGGGCTTGAAGTGAAATACAGTGCTAAGAGCTGAAGCAACATGTATTTAACTTTTTGCAGTGGTTTCCCATCTGATTCAGAGGGACAATGGCCCTTAGCACCACAGATGCCTGAGAAAATTCCTGCATGGCTGCAGACCACGCTACTGCTCTGGCACAATCCGATGCAAGGCTGCCTTTGTCAGCCTTCTTGGCAGTAGGCTGCACAGAACCAACATAGATCCCTCAAAGACATCTGATTTAGCAGATCATTTAAATTTGCCCTTGCCAATACTCCCTGGGCAAGACAAAAATAGTTTTGGTATATATTACATAGCCAGCAGTTTACAGATGTGTTATTTTCTTTACTTAGCTAGCAGAGGTAATAATACCCATGGTTCCTTAACAGTGTTTGCTGTAGGTGGTTCCATGCAAGGCCAGGACTCTGCAGACCAATACCATAAATATCCTGCCCTTCCCTAGACAAACAGATTGTTCTTTCATCACACAACTCTGAAGATTCAGTACTCTACTTTCATTTAGCTTCAGATACAGGCATTGCTGGTAATGAAGAGAAAGTTGTTTCCACCACAGAATGTCTCTTTAATCTATAATTTACAAAATCTTAGTGACCACTATTGAATACACAAGTCAGGAAAGTGTTAATGGCAATGGAAAAAACTGATAGCCATATGGAAGACTAAGCCCTGTATATATGTATACACATATTTACTTATACATATCAATACACACTTTCATAATACATTTAAAGAAAAATGGTAGAGCCATTCCAGTCTCACATTAACATATGTATAAGTATCACTGCTGGCCTAACTACATGGTTGTCATGTCAGAGGGGCAGAACAAAAGACAAAATTTACTGTTCATGACATTGTGTGAGTAACCATTAGTATGTGCAGCAACAAAAGGTTCTGTATTACCTGCCATACTTTAGAGTCTAATCTAGTGTCATTATGGATAGTTTTATGAGAAAAGCTGTCTTTAGGAGACTAAAAATAGTAAGTTGAGTGGTTAGGAAATGACTGATTGGTTGGGGAGGTGACTAGCACATGAGCCGATACTGTGACTATTTCGTGGAACACCAGATGCTCCATCTCACAATGATTATGCAGAGCTGGACCATGGAAATACAAAGTGTCTGGAGAGTGGTAGTCATCCTGATCAGAGAGAGGTGTGTAATTGCTTCTGTATAAAGAAACTAGAAATACTAAAAGTTATCAGAAAATAAGGCTCAAAAAACTCACCAGAACAAACAATAATAATTAATGATGTATTGAAATTCTGAACTCCCTGCAATGAGGTTTGGCAGTGAGTTGCTACATAAAAAGACTAAAACTATCTGGACAGATCGGTAGAAAAGGGATGTATTGGTAACTCAGACAGAAAGACCCAAACATAGGTTTTAATGCTCTGTCAGAGGTAAGAAAATATATAATGGAATGGAGCATTCCTGTTTGTGTGTATACCCACCACCCACACATGTATACATGCCAAGAGCTTCTTATACTGGTGCCTTTATGTGCATGTTTCTTTTAATAGTACCAGATGCTCAGGAAGAGTTTTAAAAAAGATGGCATGCTTAACTGACCAAGCAGTAGTCTTTATCTTAGCATGGCAGTTTTAACAGTTTGTTAAACCTAAAATATTAAGGAAAGCCTTTGATCATCAGAAGTTTCCCCTCTATTAAAGGAGAGAAAACCCTGCCTGAGTTCACTATTATTGTCCAGAATAGAAACAGTCTGCAGATAAACAGTCAAAAATAGATTCAGCCTAACTCAAGGTGAACCCTTCAGTACTATTACTAGCAGAGTATGTTGACTGTCTTTGAGATTATAAACTGAATGGCAACAAAACAGCCCCCGTTAATTCACTGATTGTTGAGACTGGGTTTAAGACGACTAGATGAACAGATGTGGGTTTTATATCATCTTCTCCCAAAAGGAGCACCTAAGTTATTGTGATTAATCACGGTAACAGACCTGTTTCCTCTAAGGACTCACATTAGCATTTGTTTAGTTTTGTTGTCTTATTTTATCAATCAGATCAGGAACAGATGGCTGATACTGGGAGAGAACCGGCATAAAAATGAAAAAACACAGTAGATCAGAACTTATGAATAATCAGCCTTTAAGATTATAAAAAAATCTGACACTGAATAAATAATATCTATACTTGATGGTATCTATGAAGTGCTCTGTAAAAACTAGATTTCCTATTTGGCTTGTTACCAATGAATGTGTGGTTAGCCAATGACTCGTGTAGGAGAAAACCCCACACTGTTATTGTGTGAAAGAGACTAGCACAAGTACAGGCTTAAACACAAAAGCACCGACATGTCAATGAATCTATTAGTGATGAGTCATAAAAAGACTGAAATGTAGTAGCCCAGGACTGAAAGTGAGCTAAGTCTAAATGAAAGGCACGCATCCAAGTACATCACGTTCAGATTATCTCTGCAACTCCTAAGAGAATTAATTTCTACCCCACACTAGAATTGAACGAATATTAGTACCTCTGCTTTCCCTTATCTCTAAATGAAGACACTTGTACAGTAATTTGATGCCAAAATTAGCACTTTTAAACTACAGATGCAGTTCTTCATAGGGTTTTATGTTTTAAATTTTATTCTCTAGGTTATACAACAAATTTCAACAATTTCATTTTCAGTATTTACAAACTGGTTTCTTATTCTTCCTGCAAGAAGTAACTCAGTGGATAAATCAGCCATTACCAAGGTAAACCCCCTCTGCCCAGTAAGGGAGGACGAGCTGGGAGGGAGAAAAGAAAGGGAAAATAGTATTTTGCATAATAAACATATTTTTTAAACTTTGAATAACACGTTGCTAACATGGTGCTTACTAAATTCTTTGTTCAAAAACATCTAATTAGCTAAGAGCTTTTAAACCTAGGAGTTGCTATGTGTAATTTAACATTTTCCAAAATCCAGTTAGTGCAAACCAAGCCAGAAGTGGTAATATCTTACTTAGTGCTACACAAGCTAGATTTCTGTTTTACATTATTTTCCATGCCTGTGTATAAACCTTTTGAATGCAAGTGAGGAGGGTCACCTTATTGTCAGTCCAGAGATAAAAAAAAAAATATTGCCTAGTACAGTGGAGAAGCAACATGGCTGAGGAAGGTGCACTGAGGATAGTTTTACATTAATGAATTACTGTCACCATTTTAAAGAGAAATAAAATTGAGTCTGAACAGCACATACAAAGCAAGGACATTCAAAACCTCCCCATTTATGACTGTCCTTAATTTAACTTCTATGTTGCAGACACCTTTCACTCAGAATTTAACATTTTCTTTATCACTGTTTATCTAATACAGATCAAAAAGCTTTTCTCAGAAAATTTTTATACTGGATCTCAAAGAAACAGACCTTACTGAGATTGGCCTGGATTAGTTCTCTGACCCTTGCATTACTTCTCACTGTTTTTTTGGGGTTTTAGGTTTGGTTTTTGTTGTTGTTTTGTCTTGGTTTTGCTCATGATTTAGGGTAGAAGCCTCTAACTGAACTATTTTATTTTTTTTTAATTTTAGCCTGGAAGAGTTGTGACTTTAGTTGAAGATCCTGAGGTATAGTACTCCTGTTCTGTCTCTGTAGTGTACAGAATGTCCTGTTGCATTCCCAGCCTGTGTAGTAAGTCCCTATTAATTTTCTGCTTGTCTCCAAGCAGAGTTATCTTTAGTGCAATGAAAAGTTCTCTCAGAATTTCTTGGGAGTTACCCCAATGACTCTTGATTGTTTCAAATAAATCAATCAATCTAAACTAAGAAACTGGAAGTAGTTTGAGTCTGTTATTACCAAAGGTGTATTTTAAAGTATTTTCTGGAATAGTCACTTCAGCTATCCGGTTATAAGATGCAGAGTTTACTTTCAGTATATGTATAGTGTTGACAGTACACTGATAGACCCCAGATATTGTGTCAGAACTGTAATCTTGCCCTCCCCCCAAAAAACCTGAAACAAATCAACATTATATTGCAGTGATAATAAGATACCCTTGCTTTATTTTTTGCTAGACAGACAAAATGCTTAAGGAATTAAATGCCACAACTATGCTTTTGGTTTCTATGTAATACTGTGAAATCTGCTCCTGTTTAGAGAGAGCGGTCATTGGCCCATTTGCCATTCTTGCTTATCTTTTGACTTTTTCCCTAAGTCTCACTTAGTGCAAGGAAGTGTTTGCAAGGAGAGTGCCTGGGCTGGGGAGGGAGGGAAAATGAAACAAGACCTAGGTTTACAGTCATGTAAGCTGCAGGTAAATCAAGACTTTTCTGCTTACAAAAGTACTTAAGAGTTACTTTTAACCCATTTTTAATTCTGTTCAATTAGTAAAGAAGCTATCTTACAACTACCTGCAATTTTTTCTAGAGATCTTACCCACTAGAGAGCTTTTGGTTGGACTGCTCCCCAGATAGGACAAAAGCACTGAGCTAGGCTGGGGGAGCCCAGGGGTAGCTGTTGCAGGGTACACCCAGGGTGGGATTGCTTTCCCACTCCCTGCTGATCCCCTGGGCCCCCCACATCCAGCAGCACAGTCTGCTCTGGAGAGGGCTTCCATGGTCATGTCCATGCAGCTTCACCCTGCTCCAGGGGAGGGAATCCCTGCAGGTACTAGTGCCTCCAGAGGCGGGAGGTAAAGAAGGATGGCAGGGAGGCAGAGGAGAGCAAGGCCACCCAACAACAGGCCGTAAGACACAGAGGACAGGTATTTTGGTAGTAGTTAGTTTTTATTTACAGTTGCTTATCTATATAAGTACAATTGCTGTCTTACTGATCTATTTCCCTGAAATAGCAGCCACAGAGAGGTAAGTTTAGCCGTAATCGAAAACTTCAACTGTTTTTTGCAGTTAGCAAAACCAGCAAAACGCAATGCACTGTCTCTCATTGTGATTTTCTGTACCTTTCTAGTAAGGGTTTTTTTTCACATTACTGTACTGCTGTGTACCATTATGTTACACAGATGCCTATATAGACAAAGAATGGTTATGTTTGTTGCCACTCAGTTTGTATTGTTAAGCAAACTTACTTGTTACCATAGAAACTTTTTTCCCCTTAGCAAACCAGTTTTGGTTGGTTGGGTTTTTCTCCCTTTTCTCCAGAATCTGGTGTGGCCAGATAATCACCCTTTACACTTAAACGTGAAATGACACAACAAGTCATTTGCTTTTAGTTACTCATTCTGCAATTTAAAAAAGGTAACCTTGTTTTGAAGGTATCTTAACAGACTACAGCAATTATTGCCCTGCACACTCACATGAAATACAGGGGTGACAACAGCAGTGGTACTTTTACTGGCAATGCCGGGTTTTGCTCTGTGCTAGCCTGTGCATCCTTTTTCAGTAGCGATACACATAGTGCAGCTTGAAAACATCTAGTTTAGAGAGTTATTGTTACTTGCTCCATCTGAATTTCTTTGCCAGTTAAGAGGAAGCCACACACACAACACTCCTTGTCAGATTTCTGGATTATAGTTTTCCATCATCTGAAATAGAAATTCCCTGCACTGAAAACTAAATGAATGAACTATCAGTGCTTGTCTGCTTTAGATCCTTATCTCAACCACACCCATGTATGTTTTCCTATCAACACCAAAGTAGTTCTGAAGGGCAGATTTAACTCAAGAGAGTAACATGCGCAGAAGAGGCTGTTTTAAAAACTAAGACGTTTCCTGCAGGCAGCTGGAGTGAACTTGCATTCTGGATGGCTGAGGGAAAGCAAGGAACCCATTTTTGTACTCATTAGTGCTCTTCCTGGCCACAGCACATCAAACACTGTAACCATCTACAAAGGATGCAACAGAAGTTGACTCCTGATTTTTTAAAATAAAATGCCTTTGACTAGTATATGGTCTGACTGCAAAATTCAAGACTTATGACTAACACCGCCACCATCTGATATCATGACTAAATACGAAGAAACAGTTTTAGGGGGAAAAAACCCCCACAAAACCCAAACCCCTTAATTGCTTTGTCATTATTGCTGGAGCACTGATAAATACACCAATTTAACTGCAAGAAGAATCTACATTTGATGCTGCCAGTAGACAAAATTGACTACTATTCATTTTAAAACAGCACTTGTAAGGAACGCTATGTAGCCTTTAGTGGATAACAGACCATCATATTTTTTCTATGCTACTTCAAAACAACCCATGCAATCCCTATCCCAAACAGATCACACTGATTTGTTTATATAAAACTTAGGGGAGTATAACTGATTCACACCACAGTTAAGTACTTTCTCAGAAATGTTATCTGTGAAGTGGATGAAGAAATGCTCAGATTCTCAAAGATGGTAATGAAATTTATCTTAAGCGTTTGCTGAGGTGCTGGATATAGCACATTTGTTTGTGCAAAATGAAGGTTCATCTCTCAGCTGTTTCTTCTCTGATTCAGTTTCAGTGAGGTAACGTTACCATGCTCATCCCTCCAAGTACATAAGAGATGTGACACCCAGGTCCTTCGAAATGAAACTGCAACTAAACAGAGGAAGGACCTGATCAAAATTACTTTGGATTTGGTGCTGTTTCAGATTTTAATTTTCAGATACAAGTTTTGGGAGGTCAGGAAGATACTTTGTATCCTTTGTGCCAGTTCCTTAGTAGCCCATGCCAGGTTATTTACTACTTCTAGTTTAACTGTAGCCAGGAACTGTTTTGCAAGAAAGGCCTCAGCATTAGCAAAAAAGTGGATGATCAGTCCAAGTAGGTACCATTTTGACTGAAGATGTCCCAAATAAAACACCCTTTTAATTTGGGACTCCTCTACAAACAGCACGAGAAATAGCTATAAAAAGACTGAAAACTGAAGACTTTTTTTTTTTTAAAGACAGTTTTGCCTAAATACAAGAGAAACACAATAATTTGTGAGTATCCTTATGAACACTGCCCAGATTTTCTTTTATGTCCTTCAACAGGGGTGTGTCTGGGGTGTTGCTTACAGATTGCCAGCGGGACAAGAATGTGAAGTAAAGGCATATCTGGACTTCAGAGAGAAAGGAGGCTACAGGACTCAAACTGTCAGTTTCTATCCAAAAGACTCCTCAGTAAAACAGTTTGATGTATTGTTATACATTGGAACTTGTGACAACCCTAACTACCTTGGTCCAGCACCTCTAGAAGAAATTGCTGAACAGATTTTTAATGCAGTTGGTCCAAGCGGAAGAAACACAGAATACCTGTTTGAACTTGCTAATTCTATCAGAAATCTTGTACCAGAAGATGCAGATGAGCATCTCTTCTCCTTAGAGAAACTAGTAAAGGAACTCTTGGAAAAGCATCAGGACTTAAATTGTCTATAAAAATAACGTCTTTCTTTTAATGATCTTGCTTCATCTTCAGAGGAATGGTTTCATTGCACAATTGGTATATGACTTGGAGGCATGTTTCTCTGTACTACACGATCTTATTTATTTTAATATTGCAATCAAAATAATAGTTGGTCATTAAAAGATATCGTTACAAAAATAATTCTTTCAGCAGTCTAAAGAAAGGGGAGCAAGGGAAGTGTTTTAGGTTTGAATTTGGTATACTGGGTCTTTATCCAAAGACTACACCTTTAAGAAAATCTCACGAGAACCACTTAAGCTTCTCTTTGTTTGAACATTTATCCTTTATATATTAAGTTTGTCCTTAAACACTGAGAGAAACCACTTCATTGTCAAGGAAAGAACTCTTTCCCTTGGCTCATTATGTTGAGCCCCTGGAAACCAAAGCACAGGATACTTTTGACACAAACAAGCCATAATGTATCAGTGCCTCATTTTATTTTTAAGATTAATATAAAGAATAAAGCCAAAATATTAACATTGACTGAGATATGACTTGAAGTCACAATGCAGCAAGAATGTTCAGAAACTCATCTTTGTTACTTGCCTTTAGATGTTGTTGTAACCCCATCTCTTAAAAAATTCACCCATCTCTGAGGATAGGTTTTAAGCCAGTAATTTTCAACCACTGTTTCAGGGATGCACAAGCAAGAGGTAATTAAGAAAGAAACCCTCTTACCAGTAACATTACATGTGTTGTATGGACATCCAAAGAGGGTTGGAAAGCCACCAGTTTAGGCTAGTAGGCTTACTTTATGCAAAACTTAAGCAAATGGAGTTTCCGTCCCAACAAGGACTTGTCTTGCTTCTCAAAAATTTAAGTTATTTTTGTTAACTTTTTACAAAGTGTATTTTTGTATGTTAATCTAGGAAAGGTCCTATTTCAAACAATACGTAACATCACATTTTCTCATGCAGAGAATGTATAAGTGTTTAGTAGTAGCTTGGAAGCCTATATTTTAAGTAATTCAAAACCCATATGTTTCTACTGTAGAGGTTGCCCCTTTCTTTTATTTACATTTTCTTGTTTTATATTTGTAATGACTTGAAAATATCAAGTTTATCAAAACAACAGGCTGCTATTACTTTACTTGGCCATGTACAAAAGCTAACAAGAACATACATGGATGTTAATAAGAAACATTTGAGAAAGGCATCTAGATGAGTATAAAATAGGATATTAAAATTTAAACCTAAATTTGAGATAATTAGGTCATTTACAATACTTAACCAAGAACACTATTTTTTACATGCCAGATTATGATTTCAGTGTGCCTCTGCCATTTCTCAAGCATTGATGCACTGAGGGAAAGAAAGCGTATTATGGTTTTCAGAAGCTACTGTTTACTATTAATAGTCGAATGTCACTATTTTAAGAGTCGATGATGGGGTATCACTTGATGGACTAAACTGCAGAACCAAATCCTCTGATCATATTAGCAAAATAATCATATGCATTGAAGCCTCATTTTCCATTAGTAGACATGAGTTACTTGCAAATGATGGAATATCTTTCAAAGGTCTCAATCCTCCACTGCACTGCGCTGGATTTAAGACTGACACAACTGAGCAGAAAAGCAACACCAGCTAATTCAGGTGTACAGCAGGAGAGGACTATGATCAGAACTTCCATGTGTCCGTACACGAGTCATTAAGATGCCCAAAGCTGGAGCTGAGGGACTTTGCACACCAAAGATGGACAGTTATAACCATCACCCAAATCAACATTAATGAACGTGCTCTATTACACATGCATTTATTCACCTTGACTTAAAGAATAATTCTTAAGTGTTACTGGATAATTAACTGCTACAGAAAAATGTTATGTAGCATTTACCAACCCAGCCAACAACAGCACTTTCTTTCTTGTGCTGCTTTCAGATTTAAGCAAGCTGCAGTAAACTTAAAACATGTACAATGGCATGTACACTCTATGCATTTTAAAAAATTATTTTCTCAAAGACCTTTGTTCCTTAAAACAGGGCAGAGGATGCTTACACTCACTAATGATCCTGAAACATCAGTGACGATTCTGTCTTTCAAACTAATTATTTAAGCACTGTGTTAGGGCATTGTGATTATGTATGGTTATACATTTTGTATCTTTAACTATATTCAGGACATTGTTGGTTCATTTATTTTCCAGATTCATGAAAGCTGCAATAATATCTGTAACGATACATTCCAATTTGTGCATACAACTTCAGTACAATAAAAATGCATCATATTTACTAATTGTTTTGGAGTAAGAAACTTCCAGAAATGTTATGTATATTTAAAGTGTATCCATATTCGGATGGACAATGTGCATCTTAATTGTATCTTGTTATAAAATGCTGTTAGATCTAATGATGAAAAACAATATACAAGAGGTAGCTACTATTATGCAGTCTTAAACTGTGTCGACATTATGAATTAAAGCACTGGAAATATACATTTTTTCTTGCTGTATGGGATTTGAGCCAGGACTCTTCCTACAGCTTCAATCAGAAGCCTAGAATGCTTTCAGATATGTTACCACAAAAAAAAAAACCCAAACACTTTTTATATGCCATATATGCTTAATATTTTTTACCCCTACTGGTTAGAACTAAATCCAAATTTGTGACAAATTAGAGATTTTAGATATGGTTTCATTATACAATCAAACACATGAAGCTACCTCAACTTGTTTCCAAACAGTGTTCGAGGAAACAATAGTCACATCCATGTTGTCAGATTTTACTCCCTGGGATCCACAGACATAACTAACTGAGCAGTCAGCATGGACCTCTGTCCTTCTGTGCATAAAGCAGAATGCAGTAGTATGCAGCGATGGTCTTCCCTGGGGTAACCACACAGTAAAATTTCTCAGGCCATTGTTATTTTGGAATCTCCCAAATAAAATTCCTATATTAATTTAAGTTCTGAGAAAAAAAAATAAATGCAAGGTTTGTATGAAGACTGCAGCAAGACAGTTTAACTTGATGGTGCTATGAACTAAAATAAAAAAGATACTAAAAAGCAGCTTATGTAATATCTGATATTCCTCAGTACAATCAATTTGACAGCAAGTTATTAAATATGCAATCATCTGTGAATATGACTCTAACCTAAATATGCAACATTTTACTTTTTTGTCTAGCTTTTGATAATAAGCACAGCTCATAGTTTTGTCAGTGGCAGTCAAAATGGGTAACGTGTCATCTGACTTAAACCGTAAAACTTCTGTAAACAGATTTGCATTTCTTAATGCAAGAAAAACTTACAAATCAAAAGATTCTGTAATTACCAGAGTCTTTGTAGCATCCCCGTTAATGAATTCTGTCTTTCCTTCATCAACCATTTATCTGCTCTGTATTTTCCATAGATGAGCAAACAACAAATATCAGATGGGACTGGCCTGACCTGTTCTAATTTGGAAACCGTGCTGGACCATTCAGGTGTATATGTACATATCTCTATATATAGATTCGCAGAACCCTTAGAGTTCTTATTTTATACACATAAATCTCAGTTTGCCTTTATCCAATGGTTATGTTTAACAGGTTTGTGCATAAGCTAATTACCAAAGTTTGGAGAGTCAGACCTTTTCAAAACAAAACGAAGCTAACTGCCATGCCCTCACTACACAAAAAGAGGAGCTGTTAATGATTTCCTTACTTTTGTATCTGTACATCTTTATCCCCACTTTCATGCTCTCAATTTTATTTTTCACAAGAAAGAACAGACTCTTTCTAAACTAGGCTTCTTTTTAGAAACAAGATTTGATGAAAATCCTTCACAAAGATAATTAAAGTACTGTTTAGTCATGCAGAAAAAAGCAATGCTTGATAATTCTTAAAATCACTTTAACACATTCAGTAAAACAATTTTCACCACAAATGCAGGAATAACATCATGTCATACTACAGTTCATTAACAACCGACAAAAAAGGGAAAACAGTCTTAACAGAAGCTCTACAAGTGTGAACATTTCAGGCAATCTTGCAAAGAAGCATAATAAAAAACCCCATACTTGTTTGCTCAAAATATCATGGATAACTCACCCCTTTACGAGCAGAAACCCACCCCCCCCCTATTTTGAACACCCCTTATCCTTCAAAGCTAAAGCAACACAGTTACAAAACTGATTGCAGAGCATCCCCCATCAGTATTGTATCACTATTTTATATCATTATTTCCTGAAGTTTGCCATGTCACCAATTTAATGCTGATTTGTATCCCTTCCCATCCCTTCTTTCTGGTATATGTCTGGACACAGGCTTTACACAAACTAAGGAGCAAAGGATGTTGAAAAAACTCAGAATACTACAGCTCCCCCATCCGATCTATTTATGTATGACTGGTCTGTGTAACAAGTTCTAAGAGGTGATTTTCCACTGTTCAGCCAAACTGTTGACCACAGGAGAGATGCAAACAGGCGTCAGGATAGCAAGCCCCCAGCAGAGCCCTGTTTCTTGACTTTCCACTGTGCAAGTATATAGTTGTCACAGGATTTTAGAAAGAGACTGTTTTTTAAGTAATTAAGCTTCTTTAACAGTCTTCTGCAAAAGCAAGGTGTTGACTATACACTCACTTTGATTACCAACTACAGCACAGCCCTGACCATATTCCAACTTCACACTCCGTCAAGTATTCTTACATTAATTTCCTTTCCTCCAGCTTTTTATTCAAGTAGCTTCCCTTTAATTGTTACCCTTCTTTGTCTCAAACCAACATCTTGCCTGCATTGTTCTGGCCTTTTACAACTTCACTCTCTTCTCTGCAGGTATTCTGGCACTTTCCTCTCATTGTGCACATGCCTGAACTCAAAGAGTCATTCTCCCAGTACAGCTACATCTATTTGGGCACCAGTTTAACAGAGAAAAAAAAACAACCACAACCCCCCCCCCCAAAAAACCCAACCAAAAAACAACACCCAAGAAAATTATGCCAGCAAAGCTCAGAAGTATTGACTAGACATGATGCAACTACTTAGTAAAGTTTTAAGCTATCTCACTTATGTTATCCCCATCTGCAGATCATTCTTCTGATCAGGGCAAAAGTCAGCCAAGGGATTACAAACCAAATCATTTACTTAAACCGTTCAGTCCCAGCCAGCTTTGCCCAGTGTAGGTGTGAAAGCATGCACACACATCACTCTACTGGCAAAGCAGTGATGAAGAATGGCCTGAACCAAAACATCTTAAACCAAACCACCTGAATTCACAATGCAACATCCAGTGTTATCTTTCTCCACCACACTGGGATTTTTTCCTGGTATCATCTGCTTCCTTTGCCCTCAGATACTTCTCTTACTAAAGATTTCTGAGCCCACTCTGCTTATAAGGGTTTATTAAGCATCACCACACGCTGCCAAAACATTATTGTTATTCTCGTACATCACCCCATCACTAATTGCAATGCAGAAAGTAAACTGCCCCACTTTTCTCCTTCCTCCACCTCATTCCAGCCATGCCTCAATTTATAGTTCCATCTTAATAGGAGATAAAAGCGCTACATTACATTTACTGCAGTATTAAATGGTGTTCTTTACTTTTTTGCATCCTCCAGACTTTTCCATGCCATGGAAGTCTTGCTGGCACTACTCTAGCTGCAAAAACTTACAGAGAAAAGGAAAACACAACAACACAAGCTAGCCACGGCGGTACACCAGCACTGCCTACTGTGTTGACGCCCAAACCACACGGTGGCCACTCGCCACGCCGGACGGGACGGGGTGCTGAGCTCTGCCGCCCGATGCTGCAGCACTCGCAGCAGCGGCAGCCCGCAGAGCCTCGCTGCAACAACGCGCCAGGGCAGGGCCTCTTTTTTTGGGCTGAATCCCACGGGCCGGAGGAGCCGCGGCAGGAGCGGGTACCCGAACAGAGGAAGCTCAGAAAAGAGAGGCTACGGCGGGGGAGGCTGGCAGCTTCTAAGGCAGGAGCAGTGCGGCTACCGCCGTCACCCACGAGGGGCTTCTCCCCCTCAGCCAGCGGCGCAGGTCCCTTAAACCGCTCCCCGCCTCCCCCGCGGCCGTCAAGAAGCCCACTGTAGACAAAGTCTT